GGACACATCGAGTGGCTGCCACCCACACAACCCAACCAGGGCTGGGGACAAACTGCAACCGTGGTACATGACCTTAGCGGGAACCGAACCCGAGTCTCTCTGGACCGCAGGCTGCTGCTCTAACCACTGAGCAAAACAGGGGGCCAGGGCCAGAAACACTTTGTTTTTTAATCCTCTTGAGGAGATTTTTGCATTTATCTTCAGATAGAGCAGGGAGAGAGAGAGAGAGAGAGAGAAACATTGATGTGAGAGAGACACATCAAGTAGCTGCCACCCAACAACCCCAACAGGGGCCGGGGACAAACTGCAACTGAGGTACTTGCCCTTAGCGGGAACAGAACCCGGGCCTCTCTGGTCTGTGGGCCGATGCTCTAACCACTGAGCAAAACCAGCCAGGGCTCAACAGAAACACTTCAAGAACCATATTTAGGCAATAAAAGATGATATTTGAACAATATTCCAATGATGACTCTTTTAAAAATATTGATCTCTTCTCAAATATCAAACCCTAAACTGGACACTTTATATTGTCTTCCCTGACCTTCTCTGGAACATTTTTGATGTGTAGTCTAATTCATGGTCATTTAGCCAATTTTATAGCCCTAAAAATATAAATTCTAGAAGCTTTCTGAATAGACCCTATGTTTAGCATACAAAATATAGTAAATTCAACATACAATATTTGATAGATTAGTAGTCACCCTTTATTCTTAATATCTCTGCATATCTTAATATCAGTGCTAATAGTCACTAGCCAAAACTACAATTACAGTTAATAGCAAGTTTTAAGGTTCTGAGTAGTAAATGTAAAGAGGAAAAATCAGAGGTATGGAAAACTAAACACAAAATTGAAGGCTAAAAATGTGGGCCTAGACCAGAGATGATAGAAAAACAGAAAAACAAGATTAGGAAAAAGGTGTTCGCATCCAAGAAATGCAAACTCATTCTTAATCTAAAGTAAGTCTTATTCTTTTTTTTATTTTTTATCCTCACCCGAAGGTAGAGGAGCAGGAGGGAGAGAGGAAGGGGGAGAGAGAGAAACGTGAAACATCTATGTGAGAGAGAGTGGCTGCCATCCACACGACCCCAACTGGGGCAGGGACAAACTACAACCAAGGTACGTGCCCTTAGCAGGAATCGAACCAGGTCCACCGACCAATGCTCTAACTGCTGAGCCAAACCGGCCAGGGCAATAAGTCTTATTCTTATCATGGATTTCTTTTCAAGTAAAATGGAGCCTTGGATTTTAACAACTTATCCTGTATTTTGAGAATGTCTTTGTTAACTCAAGGCATACCTTCATGACCTAGTCCTACCTTTCCAATTCACACTTTGTTTTTTTGTTTTTATTACTGTTGTTATTTACTGCTGTACACCAATCCCTAAAAAGTGCCCAGCACATAAATTGTCAAATGAATAACAACCTTTGAGGGAGGCATTATTATCATCCTGGTTTTACAGATGAGGAAACTAAGGTTAGCAAGGCTGAGTAAACTTGCCTAGGGGCTATAACACTAGCCAGAAACAATCTCCTCATTTGTACTCTATCCTCACTGGGCAGAATACTTTCTTAATGTTTCTGTGTCTTTATTGGTAGCAGCTTTCCCTTCTTAGAGGAAGGCTCAATTCAATCTTCAACTTCTCCATCAATCTTTCCTGGGTGTCCTCATACCTATGATCCCCACTATGGTCTTCTACAGATCTCTCCTTGCTTTGTGCTGTGTCCTCTTAAGAGTTCTGTTATTATAGCCCTTTGCTGTACTTATTTCTTATCTCAACTTCAAACTTCCGGAGGGACAGAAATGAGGTATCTTCAAATGTCTCTACCAAAGGGCAGAGATGAATAAATGTTAGATGTATAAATGAATAATCCCTACAAATCCATGAGATAAAATAGAAACCCTTTAGCTCAGTTCCCTAACCATAGGTGACCAGAGACTACAGCTTTCCTTTGCTTGGGGGTGGCAAGGCATGCCTGAAATTCCCTGCCCATACCACTAAAGAGCATCACTGTGTTATGTTAGGGCAGTTTTTCTAGTTTTGAGACATCTAATGAAAGAACAATACAGTTCCAAAACTTTAAGAGCTAAGCAAAAATCTATCTTTTCAAAGTTGGCCTACCTGGATGGGATACCAGCTCTCATTTTTAAATAGTTTGGATCAATTAAATCACTGTTTTCAGTGATTTTTTTTTTATTATTCTAAGTAATTCTATTTTTATATCCTTTGTTTGAAAGTGCAATTTTATACTCCTCCCACCCCCCAAACACACACAAATAAGGACAAAAACTGCTTGTTTGTTACAAAATGGGAAAATAAAGTAGAACCTGTGTGTTAGATAAAAAGGCATTAAGTAAATGTTATTATGACACCATTTGTAAACCTTCTAAATGCACATGTGGCCTATTTTAAACTAATAAAAACATTTACTAGATGATTTTCATTTAGTTGGTATGAATACCAGGTTCAAATTATATTTGAACTAAAACTGGGTTTTAAAAAAATATGGTGTAAAGAGTTGAAATATCTGTCCATCACCACTGAGTACGACATAAATAGTACTACATTCAATAATATTCTGGCATTAAGAATTTATAATCAAATACTTAGCTAGGCCAATTTCAAGGTACACAGTTAAGGTAATAATTTTTTTTTCATACACACCACCCAAGCCACAAGTATAACTTTACTCCATTTATTAACACTTAACTTTTTTTATTTATTGGGGTGACATTAGTTAAAAAAATTATACAGGTTTCAAGTGTATAAGTCTATGATACATCACCGGTATATTGCATCGTATGCCCACCACTCAAGGTCAAATCTTCTGTCACCATATATTTGACCCCCTTTAACCTTTACTATCCCCATTCCCTCTGGTAACTACCATACTGTTGTCTGTGTCTACTAGTTTTTTTTTTTTAGTTTAAAATATTTCAAATGAAAAAACTTTATTATTATTTTAGATGACTTGTTACAAAGCTCCTAAGTATACATACATGTATAAAACAAAAAGTTATTACTATCTGACACCTCAATCCCCGACTTCTCCTAACCCTCCCAGTGTGAACAATTAATCTACCGGGAGAATTCACCCTATACTTTTCAGTGTCCCGCACAAGGATTTCATTTATACTTTGTGCACAGTTGAAGACATTTCATTATAGTGTGTCTACTAGTTTTTGTTTGTTTGTTTTTCTTGTTTGTTCCTTTGTTGCTTTATTAACACTAATTTCTCAGCACTGTCTAGCCCCACCTATAAGTGATATAAATAAAATTTATAAATAGGATATTTTAAAGGTTGAATACTGGAATTTCACAACTGGAGAACCATGTACTTGCAAACTAATATTTTTCCAAATATTTACCAGCAATTTTGAAAAAAGTAAAAATCACTTTGTCAAGCAATAAGTCTGGGTTTCTCAGTTGGAGGACTGGTCCCTTCCTACCCCTACTCCCTACCCCTTCCCTCTGTTCTTCCCCTGCCAGGAATACGCTCCTGCCTAGTTCCATTACATCCTTGGAAACCTGGTTCAAGATTCAGCTCCTTGAAAAAGTCCTCCATGACCAATCCTGATTTTCACTAACTACTTCCTAACTTTATATACCCTTGGCCTTTATATATAGTTTGCACTACATAATCAGTAACTTGTAATTTTCACATTGTTCTATCATGTCTTCAAGAAGAGACCAAATAGAGACACATCATCTTTTATATTGTCTTCTATATACGGCCAGCAATAGATGCTTCCCGAACAGCTGAATCACCAGTGAAAGCCTGTCGCTCAAAAACTTCTGAAGTAACCCTGGCCGGTTTGGCTCAGCGGTTAGAGCGTCGACCTTCCGTCCAGAGAGACCTGAGGTTCCTTCCCGCTAAGGGCGCGTACCTTGGTTGCAGTTTGTCCCTGGCCCTGGTTGGGTGGTGCGGATGGCAACCACTCTCGATGTGTCTCTATCACGTCGATGTTTCTCTCTCTCTCTTTCTCCCTTCCTCCTTCCCTCCCACTCTATCTGAACAAAAAAATGGAAAAGTGTCCTTGGGTGAGGATAAAAAAACAAACCAAAACTTCTTAAGTACAGGGCTCTTCAGATCACATTTACAATACAGATAGATACTCATCATCTCCAACATGCATGAGTCCTTCAAGATGAAATTTAGTTTGCCTTAGTCCCATAAATTCACCATGAAAAGATACAGGTTACAGACCACATATACACTACAGTAAATAATCCTGGCCATTCAAATATATCTTGAGATTTAACATTTCAGGCTTCTAAAAGCTTAAAGCCATGCAGCAGCACGCCTGTGAATGGAAGGAAGCTGGCAACAGTCAGTCTCTTCTTGCAAAAGGGGCAAAACTCTAGTTGGCAGTAAATGTTCAAACACGTGAGCCTCACTGTTAAACAAGGCTCATTAACCACCCAAATCTGCTGTTTCAGCTTTCTGGCTTCAAGGAAGTGCTATGATCTCCTTTGGTTATCGCTGAGAGCCAGTGATGGATTAAATTCCCATAAATTAACCGGCGTTTTGGTGGTGCCCAAGCATACTGTTGCCATTCGTGTGGATTTTTTTTTAACAGACCCGCCCGCCCTGAGAGCCAGACGTGAGTGAAGAAAGTGCTAACCCGGTGCTTCTCAGGAGGCCAGCGGGGACCTCCAGAACGCGAGCCCTCCAAGTTCTTAGTGTCAGCTTATCGTATATAGGCGGGGCTTCAAGCGCGGCTGCTTTTTACTAAATCTCAACCGAGTCTTCCTGGGTACTGGAAGCCACACTTGGGCGGCTGCTCAACTTTTCCTGCAAGGAGGGAGCATCAGTTTTTCCATACTCAAAACCCCAGCAAACCGCGCCTGGGGAGAGCCGGGCCACCAGCAGAGGAGACGACGAGGACTCGGAGGGGGAGGGAACGGGCTCGCTCCGCAAAGGGGGAAGGGTGGCAGAAACAAAGTGAGCGTCGGCCCGCCGCCGGCCCGCCGCCCTCCCGCCCGCCAGCCCCGCTCACCCTCCAGCAGCACCTCCTTGCCCGCGCGCTTCAGCGCCTGCACGGCCTGGTCGTGGGTGGCCTGGCGCAAGTCCGTGCCGTTCACCGACAGGATGGCGTCGCCCAGCCGCAGTGCCCGGCTCTGGTCGGCTGCCAGACCCGGGAAGATCTTGGAGATGAGGATCGGCATCCGGTTCTCGCGGCCGCCCTTGATGCTGATGCCCAGGCCGCCCGCCTCCTGCTTCACCACCCGCACCCGGCGCACCGGCGGCGACGCCCCCGCCTCGCTCGCTTGGCCCCGCGGTGGCGCGGGAGGGCTCGGGGGGCCCAGGCCACGGCTCGGGCTCCCGGGCAACGAGTCACCGGCGCCGCCGCCGCCGTTCGGGAGGCCGTTGAAGGCGGCCGCCGCCGGCCCCAGAGCTGGCTCGGGCTCCGCCGCCGCCGCGTCGCCCGTCAAGCTCAGGCTCTCCCCGCTCAGTTCCGCGACCACCCGGACCCAGCGCTCCCTCAGGAGCAGCTCCACCAGCCCCGCTTTGGTGGCCCGCGTCCACACCGCCATGGCCTGTCCCGCTCCTGCCGCCGCAGTCGCCGCTGCTACCCTCATTCCAGTCAGGCAGCCTCAGCGCTTCCCCCTTCCCGCCCGAGGGGGCGGGTCGACCCCTCCCCCCGTGGTGATTAATTATTCATGAGACCACGCCCATCTCCCGGAGGGGCGGGGAGACAAGCTGCTTCCGGAAGGTTAAGGAGTTGCCCGCAGCCGGGTCCTTTGCTGCTCTCCGGACGTGGGCAGGGTGAACCGTGTGGCGTTTCATCTCAAGTCCTTCCTTTCGCCTACGACGGACCCCCTCCACCACACCTCCGGACCTTTTCCATGCAATTCACCGGAGCTGTCTGGGCACGGAAAAAAGTCAGCTTCGAGAAGCACTTTGCAAGCCTGCAAATCTGGGTTGCAGGTTCATTCTTGCATTCACTGGTTTAGTCCGTATTTACTGAGGGCTCCGCTGGTGTGCTCCTTTTGAGGCCTGGAGAAGAGCTGAAGAAAACGTACCACAGCTGCGAACTAGCGGTCAGGTGGGGGAGGGGGGAACCCAACCAACCTGGTGTGATATATGTGGTTAAGTGATAAAAACAGCCCTGAGAACGGAGTAGAAGAAAGAATTAGTTAGGCCTGGGGTCATCTTCACAGAGATGACAATGGAAGGTGAATAGGCGGAGCAGAGATAACTGAGTAGGCAAAGGTCCAGAGGCAGAATTCAAGCATTTGCAGCCCTGCTTTGTAATCACCTGTTTACTTGCCTGTAATGCTAGAGGGGAAGTGTCTTCTTCAACCCTGCTGCCACAATAGGTAGGCCTCAAAAATATTTGCAGAATGATGGTTACTTAGGAAGATGTCAGAAGTCCAATGTGAACTGAGCATAGAATTAGTGGAGGCAGCAAGATATGAGTGTGAAAAGCCTCATATAATCAAATATCAGTTTGAACTTGAGTTTGCAGATCTGACTTATTCTGGAGGCTGTGGCCTTTGGGGCATGTGTTGATGGGCAGCTCCAGAAATTGTATGCATGCTGCAGAGCCTATAGCAGCTTTTATCCAAAGACATGGGTGATGCGATTCACCAGCTTCTTCCAGCTTCGTAGAATGAAGAGCTAAGAAAGGTGAGGCCATGAAAGCCAGTGATGCTGGCCCAAAGTCCACAGTGAGGAAGCAGAGAAAACCAGCCTCCTGGACCAGTGCTTAAAAAACAAAACAAAAAACTACATACCTCAGACCTCAAAAATAAGGATCCAGAAATCACAGTGCTGAGAAAGAAAAATCTCAGCAAAAACATGAGGTCAAGGTGCCCTCTTTCAGCAGTAAAAGCAAAATCCCTGTATCTTTATTGGGGGGGGGGGGGTATGCAGTCTGCAAGACTGCAAGAGGGAGTGCACCAATTCCTGTAAAAGGGACTGTATACCTGCTTGCTCATGAAGTACGTGTTAAAGCTCATAATCCATGTCCATGTTCCAGTCAATGAATGCACATTAATATGTTGACAAAACTTCCAAAGAGTCTCCTATAACAGGAGTTAAAACAATAAAAATAGAGACTGGAAAGCACCCAGAGCCCAAATGAAGAATTCAAAATGAGAAAACTATCTTACCAAAAAAATCGTTACAGCAGAATCCGCTTTACAATTAATGGAGCAGGATTTTCCAAGTTGCAAATGTCAGCAGAAGCTCAACCCTCCAGCCCTCTCCTAAATCAATTGCAGTGAGGCTAGCTTGCTGTTCCAGCAGGTCCTGATGTGCCCAAGTGCACCTGCACTCCCAGACATTTCTGGCTTTGCTCCAGCTGGGGCGTGAGCCCCCAGAGGTCTGAGTTATGTGAAATGTCTGCTTATTAGAGAGCACTTGGCAGTTGATTCCTTAGAGTATGAGCACTATTTTGAACACTTTCATGAATATAATCACCCAGAGGTTGGACACTTAAGGACACCTTTATTAACAAAAGGGAAGTGCTGGAAATTCTTTTCCAAAGTATCAAGATCCAGAGTTGGAGGAAGTTATAGATCTTTAAACTAAATAGTAAATGAGGGCGCTTACATAAGATAGTAAGTTATATAACAAAATATTTAATCCTAGGAGAGAAGGTAATGGAGATCAATATTTGGATTACTTGGGGGCAGGGGGGCGTAATTTAAAAATATATCCATAAAAATTTCCAAACTATCAAGCTGTTTTTACAAGGGATTCCATCAGAGGCTCTGCCCAGGTAGCTGAGTTGTCTGAGTGTCTGATATGCCAAGGTTTTGGGTTCAATCCCTGGTCAAGGCACATAGAAGAATCAACCAATGAATACATAAATAAGTAAACAACAAATTGGTTTCTCTCTCTCTCTCAAAAAAAATAAATACAAGGTATTCCATCAGAACCTAAATTAATTTTCAACAATCACTTCACTACTTTCAGATTAGCCAAACTCTTCTAGTGTTTCCCAATGATGCTTTCCAAATTCCTGAGTCCATCCTTCCAAACACCTCCTGCTCCTTTTAACCACTACCTACCTACCAAGTTGGGCTGGTTACCTTATAAGCTTATTTCTTCCTTTGGCCTCTTTAGTAGCAACTGAACAGTTCATGCTTTGTTCCTCTGGCATCAGGCCGCCTTTGTGGCAGTGACCTTTAGGCTTGCTAAATGCTGCAAGATTCCCACCTACTAAGATTAAAATTTTCCCTGTCTACACAACTCATTGGGATTTTTCCATTGAACAATTTTATTTTATGTTTGACTGGTTTGCCCAAGTAGATTTAAAAATACAGGAGGGCAGGGACCACCCATAGACTTCTTTTTATTCCCCACTATTCCGAAAAGATTGCCTTGCAGAAAAAGAACTCATTAAATGTGATTGATTGACATTCAGTGCCTCCTGGGATGTAGTCATTTCAAATAATCCCTCTGAAGGTTACTGGTTCCCTGCAGAGTGAAAATTACCAGCTAGGAAATCTCAAGTAGTCAGTGGAAATCTACTTACTGTGGATACTGAAATCTGAAATAAAGAGTACACATCTGTTTCCACAGCTTCTTAAGGACTGCAAGACAAGCTTAGATAATTTGTTTTTTTGTTAATCCTCACCCATGGATATTTTTTCCACTGATTTTCAGAGAAAGTGTGGAAGTGAGGGAGGGAGAAAGGGGGTAGAGAGAGAAGGGGGGGGGGAGAGAAACATCAATGTGAGAGAGATACATCAATTGGTTGCCTCCCGCATGCGCTGACTGGGGCCAGGGATTCAACCTGCAACCCAAATATGTGCCCTTGACTGGGAATGGAACCTGTAACCCTTTGGTCTGAAGGCTGACGCTCTAATCACTGAGCCACACTGGCCAGCAAGCTTAGATAACTTTTGAACAGCCATGTTATTTTATCTACCTCTAAAAAAGGAAATGGCTTATTCCTAATAACCTTTCATTCCCGTTACCTATCAATATGTAATCGCCTCTGCTCAAGCTGTTATCTTACTATTTCTCAGAACAAGGCAGGGATCTTTGCTACTTTAAAATGAGGATGAAAGAACTCTCAGATCCCTAATTTCCTACAACTCTATAACTCAGGCTCTGATTCTGTGCCCTCTCAGAACCCAGTGGTCTCTTTTTTCCTTCATAGATGTATATAATATAGCATGGTAATTAAGAGCACAAGGTTCAAATTGTAGGTCACCACTTACTATGTGACAATGGTCAAGGGGCTGAGGTCACAAGCTTCCATCTCTTCTTTGGAAGAATCCAGACACCTTTTACCTCTGAGGGTGGTTATGAGGGTTGACTGGGATGATGTATGCAAAGCACTTAGCACAGTACCTGCCACAGTGTGAGAGTTCCATAAAAAGTACCCACTGCTGTTGTTATTACCTGTTGACCTTCAGTTGCAACAGCAACAATAAAACCTTTAGTAGAAACTCTAGAGCTGAGAGGCTATACTTTATCTAGGAATGAGTCTGCCATGATACCATTTGATTCCAAGCTTAAAGGGCAAATGGCCAAATTAATTTCTGTAACAAACAGATCTTGTATAAAGCTACACTTGGGCTGAAAGGGAGAACATATTGCCAAGAGTCCGTCAAAGGAAAGAATTAGTGGATCTGGGGCTCGGTCCAAGGTTTGAGTGTTGTGTAATTTCATAAGGAGAGCCCCAGGCAAAATTGCAGCCCTTAGCAAGCCTGAAGGTCACTACCACAAAGCAGCCTGAAGCCAGAGGAACAAAAGCAAGAGCTGCTCAACTGCTACTAAAGAGGCCAAAGGGAGAAATAAGCTTCTAAGATAACCTATCCAACATTCCACTATGAAAAACTATCTGAGCATAACTCTTCTCCAGTTAGAAGACAGTGAGATCAGTTGTCCTGTTCAACAGGCAATACTCCTTTGCCTTCCAGGAGAAATATCTTAAAATGTATTTTTCTCTCCAGCACAAACATGAAGTGAAAGAGGGAAAGGTGCATATATCCCTTAGCTGATGCAAGCAATTTTAAAATTCATCCCGCCAAGATAAATCACTATCCATCTGAAACCCACAAAATGGATTAACTATCTCATGCTTTATGACTATGAAAACCCACATCTGCTAACCACATTACTAATGAGAAGCAGCTGGTGACAGTTTTGTAGCTCTGTAACTTTCTTTTTAGGAAAATATTAACAAGGACATACTAGGCAGAAGGTTAGTTTTGTTGAATACACTTAGTTATGGAAAATTACCAGTGTTTTTTTAATTGACAATCATGGAAATAACATAATTTGCCATGAAATTCAAAAAGGTTCCAGAATAAAAATCCCCTTTCTTCCAATCAGTTCTGACAGAATTTCCAGTACCTCATAAGACTTGCAGTCTTATAGTTAGCTTCAACTCTCGTTTTTCATATACTATTGAACACCAAATCATGTTTATTGATGCATATGGTATTTCTAGGCTTTTGCCCCACAGCTTTAACTCCCTCCTGAGTGGGTTAATGGACTAGCCAACTGCAGGATCACAGACCCCTTTGGAAATCAGTTGCACGCTGTGGCCATGCCTAAGACAAATGAAGACTTGTACAGAGTTCTGGGTTCAAACTTTGGGGCTCAAAAAGCCTTTAAAGTCCTCCCAAG